GGAGCCCCACCGAAGGCCCAAATTCCAGCTTTCTCGTGCGGCCACCGCACCCATTTTGGCACACCCATCACGTTTCGAGGCCCCATAGGAGCCCCACCGACGGTCCACATACCATCGTTCGCATGCACCCACCGCACCCATTTTGGCACACCCTTCACACGTTTGGTAGCCCCATGGGGAGCTCCACCGAATGCTGTGCATACAGCGACGGTGCTCACAACTGCAAATGGTTGGGCCCGTCGCCAGGCTAATTTTTTGCCCCTCAGTGCACCCTCTTGCTCGAGTGGATAAGAGTCTACTTCATTATCCTCCTCCACCTCTGCCTCCTCTTCCTTCTCCTGCTCCTCCTCCTCCTCCTCCCATCATCATTGGATACCGTCCAGGGACTCTTACTCTTACTCTTACTCCTCTCATCATCACCACCATCATCATCATCATCATCATCATCATCACCACCACCATCACCATCACCATCACCATCACCATCACCATCACCATCACCATCACCATCATCACCATTATCATCGTCATCATCGCCATCGTCGTTAGCGTCGTTGTATCCATCAGCATGGTCACCATGGTCATCAGGTGTCATCATCATCATCATCATCATCATCATCGTCATCATCATCACCATCATCATCACCACCACCACCACCTTGCAGACATCCTCGCAATCTGAACCACGAAGGGGGGAAAAGCAGCGCCTCGCCGTAGACATCCTCAGAATCTGATTTGAACGCAGACGAATCTGGCCACAAAAAGAGGCAAACCGCTTGAGACATCCTCGCACTCTAGGTCCCCCCAGGGGTGCGAAAGCCAGCGCATCGCCCGAGACATCCTCAAAATCTGCTCCGACAGCGGAGGATGTAGGGGGCGCACACAGGCAAACCGCTCGACTCGTCCCCGCAATCTGGGAGCGAACGGACGAATGAGATACCTCCTGGCGGCTCCCATTTGGGGTGGGCTGAAACCAGCGCCTCGCCCGAGATATCTTCTGAATCAGTTCGGAACGCAGACGAATTTAGCTGCCAAAACAGGCAAACTGTTTGAGACATCCTCGCAATCTGCCCCCCCCCCCCCCCCCCAGGGGTGCGAAAACCAGCGCCTCGCCCGAGACATCCTCAAAACTTGCTCTGACAGCGGAGGATGTTGGGGGCGCAACCAGGCAAACCGCTCGAGACGTCCCCGCAATTTGGGCGCGAACGGAGGAGTGAGATATCCCCTGGCGTACCCCCTTGGGTGTGCTGAAACCAGCGCCTCGCCCGAGACATTCTGAAACGCTGCTCCATCATCATCTTCAGCGCCTCGCACGAGACATCCTCAACATCTGCTCCGCTATCATTATCATCATCAGCATCATCAGCATCATCAGCATCATCAGCATCATCAGCATCATCATCATCATCATCATCATCATCATCATCAGCATCGTGATCATACTGATAAACAGCATCATCATCATTTTATCATCGTCGTCAGCATTGCCACCGTGAACCTTATCATCGTCACCACCACCACCATCATCATCAGCATCAACATTATCATCATCGTCGTCGTCGTCGTCATCACCAGTATCATCATCATCATCATTATCATCATCATCGTCATCATCGTCATCGCCATCGTCACCATTGTTGTCAACATCATTATTGTCATTCTCATCATCAGCAACCACAGCACCACCATCCTGATCATCAGCACCACCATTAACATCATCATCATCATCACCACAACCTTAGTAGCGACCCTGAGTGTGACTCTGAGGAGGAGGATGATGAGGAGGGAAGTGCGTGAGGAGTCGGCGCGGTCGGAGTAATAGCAATAATCCCATCCTTGAGATATGGGGAATCATCTTCTTCATCAGCATATTCAGCATCATCATCATCGTCGTCGTTATCATCATCAGTACCATCATCATCATCATCATCATTAGCATCATCATCATCATAAGCATCATAGCATCATCACCATCATCATCATCATCATCATCATCATCATCATCACCACCACCACCATCATCATCATCATCATCATCAGCATCAGCATCAGCATCACCATCATCATCATCATCATCATCATCATCATCATTATCATCGTCATCGTCATCGTCATCGTCATCGTCATCGTCATCGTCATCGTCATCGTCATCGTCATCATCATCATCATCATCATCATCATCATCATCATCATCATCATCATCATCATCATCATTATCATGATAATCAGGAGGAAGAGGATGAGGGTGTGTTCTCGTGCTTGGCGCGGTCGGAGTATTAGGAATAACCCTATCCTTCGAATATGGGGAATGACAACACCGCGACAAATCACGACGGAATCCCTAACCCCGATTTTTCTGTTGCTCTTCGCGAGCCGGATCGACCTGTGTGGGTCCCGGGACCTGAAACCGGGCTCGAAGACGCCCGGTGTGAAAAGGCGGTATCGCCCAGGTCTCAGAGTCCTCGTGGCTAACAAGCTTCAGAACACACACCGCTCCCAGTTCGACGGCGGGATGACTGGCTGCTTCGACGACGGCCTGATGGCTGGCTGCTTCAACGACGGCGGGATGGACGGCTGCTTCGATGGGGGCGAGCACGGCGTCGAGCAGGCTGGCGGCGGCCTCACCGACGAGCAGCAGGCGCGACAGCGGGCTCGGAGGAGGGACAGCACCTCGCAGCGGCAGGGGCAGGGGGAGACGGAGAGGAAGATGAGGCGGGAAGGTGAGGAGAGAAGAGGAGGAGGGGTGAGATGGAGGGCACGGAAGGAGAGGGAGGGGCCGGGAATGCACCGCGGGAGCGGAGGATCGAGGAGGAGGAGGAAGAGGAGGAGGAGGAGGAGGAGGAGGAGGAGGAGGATGAGGAGGAGGAGGAGGAGGAGGAGGAGGAAAGGTAGGACTAGGTGGGGAGAGGAGAGGGATGACGGAGGAGGGAGGCAGGGAGGGGAGAGGGAACGAGCGCCAGTGGCAGACCCATCAATCAAAGAGGGGGGCTGATGACCAGTGTGCTTATTTCCCTCCCCTCCCGGCGCGCAGGCCAGGGGGGGCGGCAAGGCGTGCTCCGGTGCGCAGGCCAGGGGCATCCTCATGGGAAAAGATGCTCAGGAGGGCATGGGGATCGACCCCCCAGGAGCAGGAGGCAGGGCTCATTTCGATTCCGCCGATTCGATTCGATTCGATTTGATGCTGGTGGCTTCCGATTCGGATTCGACTTAAGACTCCGATGTGGCATCCGATTCCGCGATGAAGACGTGCTAGCCCGCCGATTTCTGGAGATTCGACTTCTCCCGACTCGGCTCGCAATTTCCGCCGATCCGATTCGTTTCGATCGCCGATCCGACTTATTGATTCGATTCTGGGCCCTCCTGGGAGGAGGAGCAGGAGGACGAAGCGCGTGGAGCGGAGGTAACCTCCTCGCGTGCCGACCGCACATGGATCCCCTCCTCATGCTCCTCGTCCTCTGCGTCGTCGTCGCCGCCGTCGTCGTCGCCGCCCCCCTACGCAAAGTTTTGCCCTCGCCTCGCTCCCGTGCCCTCGGCCTCCGCGATCCCGGCAGGCTCTCTTCGACAACTACGGCAGCTGCTTCGGCGCGTACTGAAAAGCAGGGCACCCCAGGGGCGCACCGTACAGGGCGCGGCCCCGCACGCGGAGGCGGCCGAGAGCCCGAGGGGGGGGGGGCGGGCGGCGACCCGAGCCGCTAGTCGGGCCTGTCCCTCTACAGGGGGAAGATTCAAGAATACGTTTCCTCGGAGCCCATCTAGGATCGGGGGCGGAGAAGAGGGGGGTGATGACTAGGGGGGGGTGGACCTCATGGCGGGGGCCATGATATTTCCCCAGATTTCATGCCGCCTCTTCTTGTTTCATTACGTCCCTGGCCCCCCCGCTGGGCCGCGCACATGCCGCCGGTCATGATTTGCACCCCTCCTCTTGGACACCCCCCTCTTGGCCGCTCCGGATACAGGGGGAACATTCCAAAATACGTTTACTCGGAGCCCATCTAGGAGGCCTCCAGTCTGGGCGTCTGGGCTCAAGAGACGGGGGTCAATGCGAGCGGAGCTCAGTCAGAGCGCCAGATCTTGCAGGATCCTGCAGGGCTAGGGTCGCATTGACCCAGGTTTGGGTGCAGGATCCTGCAGTATCCTGCAAACTGACCCGGGCTGGATTGACCGGGGCCAGAAGACCCCCGATGGAGCACGCTAGGGTCGTGTGGGCGGCCTTCGTCGAGGAAGACAAAGCTGCATAAGCATGAATTTTGAGATCCCCGCGCGGAGTTATTGGATCTGCGCCAGGCCCCCCCCAGGCGGCGTCTCCAGCGTCGCCCCTGCCGCGCTCCGCGCGCCAGGGAGGGGTGTGCAGCCCTGATCCAAGTCATCCGCTCGGAGCTCGGGCAGTTTAGGAAGATGCAGTTTTTCCATATTCTTTACCAGCTTGAAGCATATCCCTGGCCCCACGTTTATAGCACCATCTTGCCTCGGTGCCGATCGAGAGGATACAACGTGTTTCTGAGGGCGCATCCCTGAGCCTGTCATCTCGTTTGGGCTTGTCAATCTCAGGGATCGGGATCAGCTCGAGGTTGGCCACACAGGGCTGGACCTGAACGGTGTTTTTGGTGATCTAGTGGGCCGTTTTCGTTTCGACTTCGTTTTGCGGTAGAGGCGGATTCGGGACAAAAGCGAAGGACAACGAGAATACGACGGAAACGAAAAACACTGTTTAGGTTCAGCCCTGTGGCCACAGCCTAGAAAAAGTGCAGTTTTTCTTCACAGTCGCGGGGGGATCGTCCCCGAGCAGTGCTCGGGCTCCGGAGGCGGCCTCTGTCTGGCCCCGTGGTGGATGGAGGAGGAGGAGGAGGAGGAGGAGGGGGGGGGGAGGAGGAGGAGGAGGAGGAGGAGGAGGAGGAGGAGGAGGAGGAGGAGGAGGAGGAGGAGGAGGAGGCGGAGGAGGAGGAGGAGGAGGAGGGGCCATCTCAGGAGGTCGGGCTGCTCCCGGGGGGAGGCGTCGAGCACTCCGGGGGTCCGCGTCGGGAGCAAGTGGCGACGCTGGGAGTCCGGGTGCAGAAGGAGCCCCGCCTCCATCGGCAGAGGGCCGCCCCCCGCCCCCTGCCCCCTTGCGCTCGCGGCCACCTCGGGGCACTTTGGGCCCCCTCTGCAGGCCTTGCCTAGCTCGGCTCACACTGGGGGGAGCCGAGCGTGCACCAGCACCAAGCCTTGCCGGGCCCAGCCGGGAGGGCGCGCATCGGGCGGGGCGGGGACTCGGCAGATCGCAGCTCCAGGGCGTGCTGGAGCGCTCTCTCGGAGCGTTCTGGAGCAGCCGCGGCGCCCGCTACGTCCTCCAGAGCCGCCAGATCTCAGAGGCCCCTGGTTCGTCCCGGTCCGATCTCGTGCTGGTCCTGGTTCCTCTCAGCACGCATTGATTCAAGCAGTGGCGAAGCGTCCCCGCTCGCCTATAGTCCCACCAAACAATGTCCTAAGAACCTTTTGTGGTTTCCACGAAATGTTCTTAGAACATTTCTGGCGGAGTCTGTCTTGTTTTATCACATCGGGTCTATGTTCCAAGACCATTGTTTTTGTTCTTAGAACATTTTCGGGTTCTAAGAACATTTCGTGGTAGGACTATAGATATGCCGGGACGGTCGGTCCCTGCTCAATTGGTGCTGGGCCCAGGACGGGCTTGGCCAGGGGTGGTGCTGGCGGCTGGTCGGCGCCCTCCCGCAGATGCCCACTGCGGCGAGATGCGGCACACACGGCTGCTCGCGTCAGCGCACGCCTCCGTGATCCTGCAGGGAGGGGGGGTGGAGGCGGCAGTGGAGGCCCCTGCGCTCGGCCGAGCTTCGAGAGGCACCGCAGACGTGGCTCCGGGCGCGTGGCTTCGCGACGGGCCCCGTTGCCGTGCAGGAGTCGGCGCGCTCCGTCGCCGAGTCCTGCGGCACTGGCGCCCAGTTTCGGATCCGTGAGTCCATGCTTGCGTGCGCCCGAGTTGCTCGTGGCCCAGGCTGCCCCCAGGATCTCCCTGGAGGCCCCCGCGGCCTCCGGAGCACCCGTCGCGAGGCCCAGAGGGCCCCACGGGCTCCAGAACGCGGCGGCAATTTAGGGGCAGTTTTTTATAACGCGAATTCATTGTTATTGTTCTTTTATGTATTACTATCATCATTATTGTTATTATTATCATTCTTCTTCTTCGTCCTTCTTCTTATTATCAATGTTGTTTTATTACTATTATTTTCATCATTTATATTAGTATTAGTATTCGTATTATTATTGTTATTGTTGTTATTATTATGGTTACTACTATTATTATTATTATTATTATTATTATTATTATTATTATTATTATTATTATTATAATAATAATAATTATTATTATGCGTATCATTATTATCATTCTCACACTTGTTATTACAAGTACTACTTTTATTATTGCCATCATGATATGTATATGTATGTATATATATATATATATATATATGTTGTTTTTCGTCTTGTCTGCTTTTACGCGACGATTGATTCCAACTGCACCCAAGCAGCCCAGCAACCTCAGCACCCCCCGAAAAGGGGAGGATCGGCAAGGGGTGGGGGGGAGGGGGGCGGATGGGGCCTCCGCCCTCCTGCCCGCAGCTGGGAGCCGCTCCGCCGCCGGGCCCCCTCGTGGCCGCCTCTGACGCGGGGGGGCGCCGGGAAGCACTGGCGGCGCGCAGCGGCTTCGTGGCCCCCTCTCCTCTCGGGGGGGGCCAAGAGGGGGGTGAGGACCAGGGGGGGGGGGTGGATCTCCTGGCGGGGCCACGAGATCTCCCCAGATTTCACGGCGCCTCCTCTTGCTTCAACGCGTCCCCGGCCCCCGCCCCTGGGCCGCGCACATGCCGCCGGCCATGATCTGCGCCCCCCCCCCCCCCTCTTGGACGCTCCCCTCTTGGCCGCCCCCGATCCTCTGCCACCCTCCTCTTCTCTTCTCGTCAGAGCGGCCTCTGAAGCGCTGGGCAGATGGCGTCGGCACCTCAGAGTTTTGGAAGAACGCATCAGCCGTCAGCGTTTCGGGAATCTGGGCAGAAATTTGCCAGAAATTTTGCGAGGAGCCAGGCGCCGTCAGCTTTCGAGCATGTCGCCTGGCATCCCGAGCAGGGGTTCGACCTCTTGTCGTCCGCCGCGAGAGGAGATCAGGGGCAACGATGGGGGGGGATCAGGCACAGGGTGGGGATGCATCGACCCCCAAATCGCCCAGTGATCGCCGGGAGGGGTATGGTGGTCCCGCCCCGCCCAGGAGGGTTCGGGCTTGCTATCGTGGGCATGTCGGCGATCTATCGGCGATCGCCGATTCCAGGTCGATGTTTCCCCCCTTTGCCAGTCCCCCCCCCTTTCGTTGCCCCTATGGAGAGGGAGGGTAGTCTCACGGCTGAGGCACGTTTCACCGGGCGCATTTTTCTTGGCCGAAGTCTCATTAATATGTACCGAAGCGGTTGCGGCGAATCACCGCCGCCCATTGCTTTTTGGAAACGCCCATGCGGCCAAACGTTGGGCCGCAGGCTGGCCAAGCTATTGGATTATGTGTTCCCCCGGCCGTTGTGGAACCTCTTAGGGGAACAAATGGGAGAGAAAGATAAGGAGGATGAACGGGATGATGATGATGATGATGATGATGATGATGATGATGATGATGATGATGATGATGATGATGATGATGATGATGATGATGATGATGCTGATGCTGATGCTGATGCTGAAGCTGATGCTGATGCTGAAGCTGATGCTGATGCTGA